CACGCGAATGGCCTGACAATGTTCCTCTTGCTGAGAGTTGGTGTCTAGCCCGCTTTAACCACGGTAGCTGTAAAGGTTAAAACCACGCTAACCATCTGTCCATACGTTCAGCAATCGGCACGAGACGTACACGTGAATGGCCTGACAATGTTCCTCTTGCCGAGAGTTGGGTACTATAGGCTCTTTAACCACAGTAGCTGTAAGGTTAAAACTATGGCAACCATCGGTCCATGCATTCACCAATAGACATGTGGTCGGTGGACGTGGCCGATGACGTCCGCACTTGATCTCGTTCCGCAAAGTGGTTTCCATTAGAGCATTGATTGGGTGACACCGCGACACTGAAATGCTCGCTGAAGTTGCGGAGAATTGACGCTGAATCTCTGAAACGGTCTCGACTCTTGATCTATCATAACCTCCTCCCACAGAGGAGCTGTAGTGAGCCCTCTCTCTCCAATACCAGGAACTCTGGGCTGCAGCTGACTGACGGGACGGGGACCCCTCTGAAGGGATGAGCACCCCCTCTGAAGGGATGGCGACCCCTCTGACGGGGTGGGGACCCGTCTGAAGCGATGGGGACCCCTCTGATCAACTGCGGGCAAAATTTTGGTTCCGCTCTCGGTCATGCCAGGTATGGATGGGCGGTGGTTTTGAAAAAACAATGAGTGGTCCTAAAGGACAGCTGCGAACAGTGTTGTATTCGTCTGTCTAAAGGGTACTATCTCTCCTACCGTCTGCACCCGAATAGAACGCCCGGTCATTATAGCTGCATCTGGACTATACGGCTATAATGACCGGGTGTTCTATTCGGGTGAAGACGGTAGTACTGTTGTATTCAACCTGATTGCAGCGGAGGATTTGAACTCGCGATCTGTTTTTCTTTTTTCTAACAGTTACATGTGTGTATACATTCAGCCATATGGACCGGGTTAGTGCCAGCTATCGGTCCCTCTGCATTGTTCCACGTTCCATCTTTGACCAAGTTTGATGCATCGTTCGGCCGCACTGCGCTGTCTGGGTCGGAGATGGGATCTCGACTGCACAGCAAGGTGATGATGTGATACGTCATCAACTTACAAACAAGAGATCGACTTGTTGTCTTTCTTTCTTTCTTTCTTTCTTTTCCGCAGAAGTTTGTCCGAAGTTGGGGGCTGCGGTTTTCTCGTTCCCCGATGATGACAGGAAATGCTTGGTCGGACCTCGTCGCTGATTTGCAGGCAGCAAAGATAGAGAGAGCGACTACTGCAGGCAGGCATGCGAAGGTTGCGCTAATGCTGCTGCAGCAGATCAGTGGATCACGAGTTCGAATCCCGAGGGTTACGTGTTCTTGCAATTCTCTTTTTGGCAATTTGCAACGGCGGTCCGTTGAGAACGTATCTTTTGCGGCAACGTAATCGCATTCGTCCGGATCGATTCAAGACTGGCTGATGACGAGTTCAAACTTCAAATCGCATGCGGGTTAGGTTGCATTGTGACATGTGTTTGGTTTAGAAAAGAAAAAGCATGCGTAAGAACGCAAGTACGCCAGCTATTTTTTTCTGGTGGAAGCTTGCAGACTTCTTTGCAAGTTTGCATCCACCCCCTCTTTCCAATACTCAGTCCAGTGAACTCAGCCGAGGAAAATGTACTCGGCGGTGGGAACCACGTACTCGGCGGTGAGGGGGATCACATACTTGAAGGTGAGGACTACCTCCTCGGTGGTGGGGACCACGTATTCCGTGGAGGGTGGACAATACGCTCCGTGGTGGGCATCAACAGGCTATACTTCAGCTAAGGTTTCCGTAACTCCAGCCTCTCATAGGAGCTTGCTCCGCTACACACTACATGCATTTGGGCTTTTTCTCGACCAGGTGCGTTTGGACTCGTCCAACGTTTTGAATATACTCTCCAGCAATTGTATCATCTGTTTGGCATAGTTCAAGTTCTTAGTATTTGGTCATATTTTCATCAGAGCATACCTTGGCCAAGGAGGCGGTGATCCAGCTGGCAATGGAGGGAAACAGGGAGAGGGAGGCGGTGATGATGTACAAGAGAGGGAGAGTGTCATATTTTCCCAAAGAGGGAAAGGATTCTTTTTTTTTTTTTTTTTTTTTTTTTTTTTTTTTTTTTTTAAGTGCTATAGGAAAAGGTGGTACCGTGGAAGCCGTTTTTTTTTGTTGTAATACGATAATTTTCAGGATTGAGGCGAGAGTGGTATTCTCTCAAGAGGGAATCTTCGCCGCTGGGAAAAAAAAAAAAAAAAAAAAAGAATCACTGGCGGCGAGCTAGCTGCTGATTTGGGGGAGGCGAGGGGGAGGGGGAAAGAACAAGGAGTAGGAGGTAGTAAAGTACACAAGGGGGAAAAGAACGCATTCTTAAGTGGGTTTTGCGGATCTTTTCCTTCTTTTTTTTTTTTAATTCCGATCTGGGTTTTTGAAGTTTTTTTGCTTTTTTTGCTCTTTCGTGATCTTGTTTTCCCAACGGAATTTCGGGTTTGAGGATTTTCGAACCCTTCAATTTGCCCCGCCTTTTTTTTTCCTTTTTCAGAGTTTTTCTGCTTTTTTTTGCAAACTGATCAGCCCTAAATCATTCCGAAACTCATTTTTCTTGTTCGGTCTAGATTTGAACTTGGTTCTTTTTTTTTTTAACAGTTCATGGTTATCGAACTGAGCTTATTAGGTCCCTTTTTTTTTTCTTTTTTTTTTTTTTGGTTGGTTGGGCCCGTTGCCCAAGGTGAAAGACAATGTTCAGCGTTGCAGATGCAGGGGTCGCAAGGCCTCCAAACCCACTTCTTTGGGTCCGTTGGTTATTTTCCAATTTGCTTCCGTTGAGAATTGATGAGAATTGAATCAGCAGTGCAACAAACTTAAAAGAAGGGGGGGGGGGAAAGCTAAATAAAAAATGAATAATAATAAAATAAAAAAAAGGAGGAATAGCTTTGGACCGCCAGTCTGCTTCGGGCAATCTTGGCTGGATCTCTCGTGTCTTCTCGTCGAATGAAGTCCACCGCAGGCGGCGGGGTGTATCGAAGGCACGGTCGTCTTCTGCATGGCCACAAATTAGGGAGGGAGGGAGGGAGGGAGGGAGAGGTGGAGGGGAAGGGGAAGGGGAAGGGGTTCCACAAGGCCGGCCTTCCACTAAGAGTGTGGAAGTGGAGAAATGGAAATTACAGGTGTTCTCATTTTTCTTTTCCTCCTAAGCATTGTATTTATGTAAATTATTAAATTATGTTTGCTTCTTTTTTTTTCTTTTTTTTTTTCATGTGCTGCTCAGGCAGGCCTGCCCTCGGCAGCAGTCTTTGGTGCCACGTGTGTGTTTTTCGATCGCTCACAGATTTTCTGCAATTCACATTTATGATTTTAGTGTTGCAGTTCGCTGTGCTCTTCATCGTTGCGAGAACCAAGATATTCGTTTGCCGGGAGTCGTAAAAAAATTGGGGCATTTCTCGATTTACGCGTGGTATTCTTAGCATTGTATTTAATTGTGGGCATTATCTTAATTCCCTGCGCAGACTATGAGAGCTGGAAATGATTAGCCTTATTCCCCCATTTCCCCCCATTTTCCCCCATTCTCCCCCTTCCCCCCTTCATGATACAGCTTCCCCTCTGTCTCCTAAAGATTGCGTTTACAGTTTAAAGTTTAAACCACTTGTGTAATTCCCAGCGTGTTTTTTTTTTTTTTTTTTTTTTTGGTAATACAAAGAGTGTGGGGTCCTATTAGGAGGGGTGATTCGCAGCTAAGAAATGAAATATGGGTATATTTCCCAGCTAAGAGATGAAATGTGGGGCTTGCATGCAGCGGCGACTTTCAGAAAGTGTTTGGGTGTCGATACGCTTGATATCCTTCCTTCCATCCAGACAAAACGGGCCTCGCATGTGCCACTTTTGTTGCATGCAGCCGGGACTCTTTGGGAAGTACTGGGGCGATGTTTCACTGGATATCCGTCCACAGGCGAAACGCCTCGCATGTGACCCCCCAGAGGGATATTAAGCGAAACGGCGCCCCTGTACTTCCCGAGAGTAGTGGGTGCATGTACACCGCGACTCTCAGAAAATGGCTGGGAAATCCGCGACTCTCAGAATATGGCTGGGAAATGTACTGGTGGTTTGATTGTGGAGTCGACATGAACGTTGTCTGCATTCCTGTGCAGAGCAGCGGAGATGAACCTTTTTTTTTTTCTTTTTTCTTTTTTCTTTTTTAACAACGGGCAGCAGAGTTGAACCCTTTTTTTTTTTTTTTTTTTTTTTTTTAACAACGGGCAGCAGAGTTGAACCCTGTTTAGTCTTCTTCCTCCCTTTATCTCCCCCACACTCGTCATCCCACCTCTCCCTCCCAACACTTGCACACGTCCAACAATCGTCGTCCCACCTCTCCCTCCCAACACTTGCACACGTCAAACAAGGTCCTAAAAATTTCATCGGGTCTATTTTTGTGCATCAACAGCTAGTATCCAATGGCCACTCCATATGACAAAAAGAAGAAGAAGAACATAGGGGCAATTGCGGAAATATTATGTTTCAACAGTGTCGCAGAAGAAATGTTGAATGGGTCTGAAAGATCTTTTTTTTTTTTTCGCAAGGAAAGTGGGACCACGCCCGGCGCTTGCAAATATTTTCGCTGTGAAACTACCGGGACCTCGAAAGCTGCAACGGAAGACGTACTTTTCCAACGAAACTTGGGCCCTGCCAATATTTTTGCTGTGAAACAACCGCGACACGCCATTTTTGAAACTTGCCGAAGAAGAAGAAACAAGAAAAAAAAACTGAATATGATAAGGAAATTGATAAAGCCGAACGACATTTTTTAAATGATTTTTTAACTACGATTTTTTTTTCACCACTCACAAAAATCCAAAATGACAAAGATATCTTACAAAAGACACACTTAGATTATTATGACTGAATGTGCTGCAGTGCCACCCGAGCAAACCGGGCCAACAACCGGGTCACCTTGGTTGCCTTGGCAGCCCGGACGGGTGAGGGCCAGGGAAGATCCCCCCCCAAAAAGCTGTCGTGTGCAGAAATATAGACGGAACGACTTTTTTTTCTTTTTCTTTTTCTTTTTTTTTAGGACCGGGAACCAACAGATGAAGTACTTTGGCAGAAAGAAAAGAAATACTAAGAGAACTAAAAAGATGTGTTTCCATAAATTTTCTTCGTCAATTGCCTACAACGACGAAGCAGCACCAAAGTTCCGACCAACAAAAAGAATCTAAGGAAAACAAGCCAAGATAACGGATAATGGATCATACATCACAGAACACAATCACTGAACACAATCACTGAACACAATCACAAAAATCCAAAAGAATGATAACGGATGTATGATTGGTTACCACTTGCCCATGGGGTCAAGTATACCCAGACCCCTTCCGCATGGCTGTATTCTGCCTCATGGGGTCAAGTATACCCAAACCTCCTTCTGCGCATGACTGACACAGCATTTTCCAAGCGACTTTCAATATGAAAGTCTCTTCCTCTTCGGCAAATGGTTTCCAAATAAATTTGGCAGCTCGCCTTCTTGACACAGAGTACAGTAACGAATCTATCTCCCTAACTCTTTCGACGTACCATAGTAGAGCAAAGAGGGCCCTATTAATCACCATTGCTCTTCCGTATATCGATAAATGAGGGGCTTTCCCCATGAGTTCAGTCTCTGGCTAATCTTCTGGATCAAGATGTCGTCTTGTGCTTCCGTGCAGTTTGAAAGTGAAACTTGAACTCCTAAGAATCGTTCAGACTCACCGTTTTGGATTCGTTTCATACCCCATTCTGCCTCGAGGGAGAACTGAGCTGGAAGGAAGTAGGCCGATTTGTGCCAGTTAATGGCTCTGCCTCAGACAAATTTGCATATTCGTCCAAGCAGGACTTCATCGCTTTTAGTGAAGTTTATGAGTTTTGGACGATTGCAAACAAGTCATCCGCCAAGGCCTTAACCTTGAGCGGAATTGGGCCGTCTTTTAAGCCACCGATTTGAATATGAGCCCGAATATTATTAAGCACGCCTTCCATTCGGATTGCGAAAAGCAACGGGGCCAAGGGGCGGTCGTGGCGGAGAGACCGTGTGAGGGAGAACTCCTGAGAGAGACGTTCATTGATCATGACAGCGGCTGTTGATATCGTGTAAAAAGCGATAACCCATTGAAAAAAGTTATGACCAAATCCTATCCAGTCTAGCGTGGAAAGGACATATGACCAGTTTACCCAGTCATAAGCCTTCTCTAAATCAAGGATAAGAACAACCATATCCATCTGATCATTTTGGATAACCTCCAGAGTTTCAATTGCCGTGACAATATTATCAAAGATGGACCTTCCTTTGATAAAGGCCGCTTGGTCTGATTTCACCAGCAATGGGAGACAGCAACTCAGTATTGAGACAGGATGCCAGTTACGGATTTCAGACCTATCCCTTTTTTTTAACAATATTGAGATGATACCACGACACATATTGGCTGAGAGTCTACCGCCAGTGAGGATTTCGTCATATATTTTTACTAAGCTTTCCCCCACTACATCCCAGATAGCTACATACAGCTTCATTGGAAGGTCGTCGTCCCCCGGGGCTTTGCCTATTGACATAGCCTTGAGGGCTTCATAGGCTTCCTGTGTTGAGATTGGTCGGTCTAGGTCCAACTTGCCAGCCTGTGATAGTCGGGTCTAGAGTCCTTATGAAGGTCTGATTTGTGATTGTTTCTCTGTAAACGAGACGTGAGAACGTCTTTGTAGCAGAAAGCCGCATAATCACACAAGTCCTTCAGTTCCTTGGTCGTTGGGGCAACCTCATTGAAGGGATGCTTCAGCTCTTTCATTGGAACTGTAGATCTTCGAGGTAGTTGCTTTTAGAAGGATTCCTTCGTCATGCAGTCATAAACCGCTATCCCCTTACTACGGAGGCGGTCCGCCCATACTTTCGACTGTTTACTCTGCAGGTCATCCTATTCTGTCAATAATTTATTCCTCTCCTTACCCCATACTCGCTCATGCAACCTTCAGCATAGGCAATTCTTCGTTGTAATTTCATGATTTTACTCTCTTTGTTGTATGCTAGGATTCTTGATAGCACAGACAGCAAGGTAGAGAAAATGCGTGAACCTGAGTTGCCCTTGTTCCATAATTTCCACGACTCTTTTCCCAATCACGCCATAATTCTTTCGTTCATACCACCAAGCCTGGTATTTTCAGGCTTTCGGTGTTAAACTGAAAGAGTCACCTCGTAGTACTTTTGTAGTGTGAAGTGTGATTTGAACGGGTTTGTGATCAGACATAGGATGTGAGGACTTTGAGACTTCTCCCACTACCTCTCAGAGATTGGTTGAGATCAGAAAGTAATCCAACCTTCTCATAGTGAATCCTGAATCTTCACGTTGGTTCGAGAACCAAGTAAAACCTGGGGTGTCAGGATGCGTTAGGCGATATGGATCCACCAATTATAAATCCTCCATCAAAGAAGTCAGAGATAATTTATCATTATTACCTTTCCTTGATGAGATATCGAGAAAGGTGTTCAAATCTCCCACTAAAATTAATTTATCTCCAGTGGGGATAATAGTTAGAAGATCCTGAAAGAAGACAGTTCTCGTTTTTTATTCAACTGGCGCATACAGTGAGACGACGACCCAATAACAACCATCCACATAACACTTCACCCAAGCCCATCGTCCCCACAGGTCAGCATAGAAATCCACTATCTCAATATCTGCTTTCCTATGGATTAGAATTGTTGTACCTCCTTTCGATCCTGTTGCCGGGTCCCATAGCTGTGGTCCATCCCACCAGTTTGTTAGTGACGAGATCTTCTCAAAAGACAACTGCGATTACAAAACTACCCGCAACGGATGTTCAATGAATGCTTATGCAAATTCACTAGTAGACATGCACCGGGGTGGGAAGGATGGAATAAGAAACTAGGGGGGTGGTAAAAGGAAAAAACGATGTCGTATTTATTAGAGGAGTTATGTCCCAATTGATGATTACCCGCTATTATTAATAAAGCAGGGTACCTAATGCGACGGGAGTATGGTCACTTCACAAGAAAAATTGATTAGCAGAAACCAAAAAGCAGAATGTGACCGGTAAGGAAGGGATGTGCATGTCACTTGAAACTTTGGAGGAACAAACCGAGGGGGTCAGAAATTTGGAAAAATTAATAAGCAGGTCGGATGTTGGGTTTTTCGAAGTAGAAAGGCCTTGAAACTGCAAAACGTTGCGTAGTGCTACTGTTCGTAGGGCGGATGTCGACTATCGAGGGTCTGGACAAATGCCCACAAGAGATGTACGGAGAAGTTAAAAGGGCGATTGTCGACTACCGAGGGTCCGGACAAATGCCCACAGGAGATGTACGGATTAGTTAAAAGCGTGGCAAAAAGAGGGGGAAAGCGGAGAATGTACGCTCGTCAAAAAAAGGAAGGTACTTCGAATTTCGATTGGTATTCGACCTGTAAGAATTAAGACGTCGGAAAGGTATCAGGCGGTAAAAATTTGGTAATTGTTCAAGACAACAGTAGCGCTGGAAATCTGATGCAATAAACAAGCCAGATACATGCAGGAATACCATAGGTATCGACGACGCGAAAGGGAAGTCGAACAATCTCGAGTAGGAACAGCAGGCCGCTGGAACTATAAGTAGATTAGTGAATAGGCTCTTAGACATCTCAAATACCCCCTGATGAGGCCACTAACTCGCGGCGGGCGAAACTAGTTGGGGATTGCCAGCTCCTTTCTCTTGGGGTTCCATTCCATTCTGGCGAGGAGGATGGAGGTGCCATAGCTAAGGCTATGGGTTGTGCTTCATCGTTTTATCTGTTGTGGTACCTGAATTTCAAGATGTTGTTTTCACATGATCGCTGCACAGTCGTGGCTATGTGTTAGGCTTCTAGTCGGTCTTAACTGACTTGCTTTCTTTCACTGAAGTTAATGGGTGTATCAACCAAGGGTTGGACCCCACAGCACCGCGGCAACGCAAAATGGGGAGTCGCGCGCATACAGGCTCCTGTGTGCCGGGAACGGACCTTGGAAGGACGGTGGGACTCCACCTCGACCCCAAGGCGTAGTGTCCCCGTCGCTCCCGTTTACCGAAATAGGAAATGTTTCCGTTGTTTTCCCGAACGGGAAGGTGGCAGGCCACGACTTGTGTTTACCGAAATAGGAAATGTTTCCGTTGTTTTCTCGAACGGGAAACTGGTGGGCCACGGATGGAGGGCACTTTCGTTCCTGCGGATGTCCGTTTCACGTCCACCCCCGCTGCCTTCCTCCGTCCAAGAGGGGGGCCCTCTCTGGGACCTACCATGTAACTTTGGCATTTGTTTTGGGAATTCTGGGGTGCCACGGAGGATTCTGCCAAGGGAAGCTGAAGTCTTCCAGGCCACGCCCGACGGCCTGTGGGGTCTGAAAAAACCCTCCGTGCCAAACCTACGCTTTTCCGGGGCTAGGTCCCACTTGCACAAATTAAGAGATAGTGACCGTAGATAGCAAAGATCAACGGCCGAAATCTCCTATTTTGCGCAAGTGGGACCTTGCCCCCGCATGCCTGTGGGGTCCGGGCCTGCGCTAAGCTTCGTTGATACTCCTGGCACTTTTTTTGTTGTCGTGCGGCGGGAAAAGACGATACTCTGGCACTTTTTTTGTTGTCGTGCGGCGGGAAAAGACGACCGTTGAAAGTGAGCGTGAAAAGTGAGATGTGGGTCCTTCGGTTCTCGCGCCAGTTGCACTCTTTCCCGCACTTTTTTCCCGCTCTCTCCTCTCCTCTCCTCACCTCTCCTCTCCTCACCTCTCCTCTCCTAACCTCTCCTCTTCTCTCCTCTCGCTCCGAGGCGGGTTAATTCCCCCGAGTCTTCACCCTGTTGTGCCTTTTGGCGACAAGCAGCAACAGGTTAACTCCTCTCCTCGGCACCGTCTTCCCGCGATAGAACGCGCGATCATTATCGCCGTATTTAGACTGAAAGTTGCGTCAGATACAGATATAAACGCCGTGCGTTCTACTCGGGGGAAGACGGTAGCCTTTGCTTACAATTATGTGGGCGGACTTTGGCGGGTATGGGCAGGTAGGGCATCCTCACACGTAGACCTTGTCCAACGAATCTGACATCAGATTACGGTCAGACACATGTAGGAAAGTCCTAAAGTGTGTTAGTCTGTCCTTATTGACATATCAAGAAATTCCCTACTGTGAGTATGCCCCTTACGTTCGTCATCCCATTCCTGTGTTTTTTTTTTTTTTTTTTTTTTTTTTTTTTTTTTT